CTCTCTCCCTCCTTCTCCCTTCCTCTCTGAAATCAATAAAAATATTTTTTAAAAAAAGCAAAACAAAACAGTATTTTAGTGTACACATATTCTTATCTAAAAAAAAGAGAGAGAGAGAGAGATTATAAGCCTATATACCCCCTGGGGTTGTTGTGAGGGTAAAATAAGCTAATGAGCAAAGTTTTAGCAGAGTGCCTGGTTTATAGTATGTATTTAGTAAAGACTGGCTTTTATTTTTATTATCTATTGATAAATGGATTATTTAACACAATGTGTTGTTCGGATTTCTACTTGTGGGAAGGAGGGGCTGCTGCTGCTACCATGTTATTTCCAGCTCCCGGTTCATAGGAAATACCGTGGAAAGCCCCACAGCGGCAACCAGTGGACCTGCGTTCTGTCCCCACCTTGCAGACTTAAGTGCCTCATTGAGAAAGTCACCAACATAGAATTACAGGCCCGGGTGGGAGGCCCATTCTGTGCTTACCATGTACCAGGCACTGTTCTAAGCTCTGTGTAGGTTTTATCCCATTTAATTCCCCACATGAAGAGATTCTGTGATTTTTACCGTTGTTGTTTTAATCCTCACTGTAGGACATGCTCAGAGGAAGGGAGAGAGACAAAGAGAAACATCCATCAGTTGCCTTTGGTATGTGCCCTGAGCACATGTCCCGGCCAGGATCGAACCTGCAACCCAGGTATGTGCCCTGATCAGAAATCAAAATGGCAACCTTTTGGTGCACAGGATAACGATCAGCCAACTGAGCCACTCTGGCCAGGCGGATTTTCCCCATTTTACAAACAAGTAAATCAAGGCCCAGAGAGATTAACAGTAGAGGCCCCCAGCAGAGCTGGATTTAAATCTAGGCTGGCTGGTCCGGAGTCCATGCTCTTAACCACTGCCCTTTAAGATGTCTGTATAAATGAAAGAGATAATTATGTTAGATCTTAGTCACCTAGAGAAGTTATAGCACAGTGCTTTCTGTAATAATATTAAAGGATGAACCACATGCATAGCTCTGACGTACATACTAAAAACCACCTGATTGTACACTTTAACTGGGTGAACTTTATGGTATGTAAATTATAGCTTAATAAGGCTGTTAAAAAAACTCCACAAACCACAAATAAGTGTCTTTATAATGCAAACTGGGTCCTAAATGATTCAGATCAAACAAACAAACCTCAGTGTCAGGAGACCATTCATTTTATGACGGAATGGGACATTTTAATCCTATTGGTGGGACATTTTTTTCCAATTCCCAGCTTCAGGCCATTTTGTATCTGCCAGGAAATTGAATAGCTCTCAGCTCCCAAGATACCTTTGCTGTTGCAATTAAATGTCTATATGTGCATTGAGGATACACAAACAATAAAGCCTAGGAAGGAAGAGAGTGAAAAGAAGACATTTCATTGAAAGCATACTGATACATCCTTTAATTGTACAGTTTTCTTCCGTGTGCGTAACTTTTATTTTTGCTTTTTCCTTTTCAAAACATTTAAAGAAGATAGAGAAAGCACATTATTTATTTTAAATATTTTTATTGACTTCAGAGAGGAAGGGAGAGGGATAGATAGAAACATCAATGATGAGAGAGAATCATTGATCGGCTGCCTCCTGCACATCCCCAACTGGGGATCGAGCCCATAACCCCGGGCATGCACCCTGACCAGGAAATCAAATCCTGACCTTCTGGTTCATAGATCGAAACTCAACCACTGAGCCACACTGGCCAGGTGAGAAAGCACTTTATATAGAAAGCTAGTTGTGGCCACTCTCTTGCTGGGCCGAGTCCTCTAGACGAGAATCATTGATCGGGCAAACTTTTTGACTCGAGGGCCACAATGGGTTCTTAAGCTGGACCGGAGGGCCGGAACAAAAGCATGGATGGAGTGTTTGTGTGAACTAATATAAATTCAAAGTAAACATCATTACATAAAAGGGTACGGTCTTTTTTTTTTTAGTTTTATTCATTTCAAACGGGCCGGATCCGGCCCGCGGGCCGTAGTTTGCCCTAGACTAGGGCCTTTGAGTTGTACAGCTCCAAGGGGCCAGCACTGACTCCAAAATGGGTGATGGCAGCTTTTCCTCAACACACTTGGTTTTTGATGAGGCACTAGGAGGCGATCAACATGCTGCTCTGATCCTCAGGGAATCTGCTGGTAGCCTAACTCTGGTTTTAGGGCCGCTAAAAGATCTTCCTTGCCCAGGTCAGCTGCCATCACAAATCTGGCAGAGATCACAAGGAGATCAGATGAAAATTTGGACTGGATCTCAACAACTCCATCACCAACACCAGTAAAGGGGTTCAAAGTCCTGGCCCCCTAAACCATGGGTCACTTTCCTCCTCAGCTCTAATGCACATGTGTGAAAATAGGCTGATTCAACCTTACTAGGGAGCGTTGTACTTTAAAGAACACAAAGGAACTGAAAAATTTTTTTACTATTCTGACTACAGTATGCATCAACATATGCCATTATTCAGTTCTGTCATGGACACATGCATGGCACGGGCTGCATTTCGGCTGTTACTGAGAATGGCATCCAGGCCTTTCCTATTTACCCATTGAACTTACCAGTCCTCTTGACACCAGTTATCAGTCTCCTTAGGCAAGCCTTCCTGCTGCAGCCAGGCATGGGCAGTAGCCCGTCAAGCTCAATGGAGTTTCAAATGGCAAGCCACTAAGCTAGCAGACACTAAGGCTCCGCCACACGTACTGGTAGCAGCTCCCTGAACTCCTTCCTTGGCTCCCTCACTCCTATCATGAGATTTGGGAATGTGTACTGATCTGGTCATTATCTTTTTCTTCCATCAGTGAGTCATCTAAGCAGGTCATTTAGGCCAAAAGTAGTCACTCTGGAGCCTGGTTTATTTGCATTGGCTATTACCTTAACTAATCAGATAATGGCTTCAGTTCAGTTTCATGTTGTATTAATATAATGTTGAAATAGATTAAAACCTCCTTTATTTTTCCTGAATGTTTTGTGCTTTTAGAAATAATATATCGGTCGTTGTTGGTTTTTTATCCCCTAGCTTCCAGATTTTTATCTTTAAATATCATTTCCCACTAAAAGAAACCAGAACTCCTTGGAGAAATGCCTGATTCCATATCTGGGGCAGAAAATATATCAGAAAAACCTGGACCAAAATAATCAAGAGGGGCAAGACTGGGAAGAGAGTATAGATGAATTAAGGTTGATGAGGTAATGTTGAAATTGGGTGGCACATAGGAGTTCTATAGAGTATTCTACATTTGTATATTTTTTAGTTTTTCCATAAAAACTTTTTTAAAATATATTTTTTATTAATTTCAGAGAGAGAAAGGGAGATGGAGAGAGACAGACAGTATCAAGAGAGAATCATGGATCGGCTGCCTCCTGCACACCCCCTACTGGGGATGGAGTCCACAACCCGGGCATGTGCCCTTTGACCGGAATCGAACCCAGGACCCCTCAGTCCGCAGGCCAGCGCTCCATCCATTGAGCCAAACTGGCTAGGCCATAAAAACTTTTTTAAGGAAAGCTAAAGTTAATTTCTATTAAAAAGATAAAAGAGTAACAGCATGCACATGGTAAAACCAGTTTGATCTTAATAATACATAGAGGTATGCAATGAAAAGTTGAGTCTCTCTCCCACCCAGACAGGAGGTGCCCCCTCTTCAGCATGTTCTTGCAACAATTTCCCTTTTAAGGAAAGCTAAAGTTAATTTCTATTAAAAAGATGAAACAGTAACAGCATGCACATGGTAAAACCAGTTTCATCTTAATAATACATAGAAGTATGCAATGAAAAGTTGAGTCTCTCTCCCACCCAAGATTCTCAATGAAGTTTCTATGAATATATAAAAATATATGCACATACTTGCTAATGGTAGCATACTATACTTTGTTCTATGCCTTATACAGTTTTAACAGCTACTTTTCCTACAACGAGTATGTGTATGCACTATATACAATACCATGAATTTTTATGCTTTTATCTATTGGGCTTCTTTCAAGCTTCTTTGCGCTAATGAAAACAGAAGGCCCACATCTTCACCTTCCTCAAGATTATTTAGAAAGAGAAGCATGGCTAAGGAGGGCTTGCAGTCCCTAATCCTAGGAGTTTTCAAGTTTAGGTTTCAGTCTGGGGGACATTACTGCTACCTTGAGGAAGGTCGTGTTTAAAAACATCTGACATTCTTCACTCCACACTGGACCCTGAGAGGTGTGGCCGGAGAGATCAGGACAAGAATCCTCAGAGCTTGCCCGCGGGACACCCGGCGGGACTGCAGAAAGCCCGAGGCTGTGATGACCTCAGGGCCACCACCCTTCGCCGGAGGGTGAGCGGAAGGACAGAGGCTGCGCCTGATCTCTGATCTCCGCGTCTCCAGCACCTCGCACAGGTGCTCTGCTGTCTGACACAATCAAGGTCCCTGGAAAGAACGAAAGTTGGGGTTTGAAGCGCATACTGACCGAGGGCGCCCAAAGAGGTGGATTTACAGACGGCAGGGTGATGATGCCACCGGATTCTAAATAACAGCGGGGTGGGCGGGATGTGCAAGAAGCCCCCGGGGTGTGTGTGTGTGTGTGTGTGCGCGCGCGCAGAAAAGAAAAAAAAAAGAAGCCCCGGGGGGGAAAAACAGGTGACACAGCCACATGGCGCGTCGGTTTCACTCGATTATTTAGCGGGAGGGGGACAATAAAAAAACTAACAGCTCTGTTACGGGGCTACAAAACCCCAGGTCCCCGTGAACTCGTAACGTAAAACAGGAA